GGTAACAGGTCGATAAGGGGAACAATAATGCAGGTGAGGCACACACACTTTAGACTCATCAGCTGTTCGTGATCAAAAGGGCAGCATGTATTCAGGGACAGAGTTCAGAATCACAGGGCAGAAGGAGGATGGGGACAGGGGACACAGGGAGTGTGGTAGTTACATAATCTGGCGTCCAGTTGAGAGGATTACGAGTGAGGGGGTGAAGTCTAGCCTGTCAATCTGGAGATGGCCAATGAGACATCTGTGTGGGCGTGGCCTTTGGAGAATTCTGGGAACTTCTGTTTTTTCTCCTTGGAGGCAGGAGACCTCTCTCTTTCTGCTCACTCCCTGGGAGACATCGCAGCTGACAAGACACATGGAACTACTCTAGTGCCCTGAGTTGGAGAAGCCACCTGGACTTACCCTGATGCAACCAGACCTCTGAAGCCAGAGGAGCCACGTAGAGACCCCTGCCAGCGCTGAGATGCTTACAACGCCACTGGATCCAAAGACTTTCTACCCACTGGGCTGTGATTGTCCTGCATTCGGCGTCATTGCATGTGTTTCGTGAGTCTGAAGAAGACTTTATAGATCGGTATCGGACATGTGGGCTAATATTGGACTTATGGGCTCGGACTCGACTGGGCTGGGATGCTTTCTTAATGTACAATTTAATTACCCTTTATATAAGACTCTCTTACACACATATGAGTTTCTATGGATTTGTTTCTCCAGTCTACCTAGACTAACACAGGGAGGAGGAAGTAGGTAAGTGATGCTCCCTTGTGGAGATTGTAAACAACGAGATGAAAGAAAATGTGCCTGAATTATTGAAAACTGCTCTGCTCTGTAAACCTTCAGCCAAGCCACAATAAAAAGTGCCAGTAGATATAATTAGCCCATAAGGAGAAGTCTGGCGTCCCATGGGTCAGGGCAGTGGTCCCAGAAGGACAGAAAGCGTGCTAGATCATTCCATCTGTCCGCTGTGCCACGTCAGTGGTGATGAGATGATTCTGCAGCCCCCGACACTTATCAGCACCCTGTAGTTGCCTAGGCAGGAAGACGCCAGAGGAAGGACCCTCTCTCCTCAGGCTGCTTTTCTTCCAAGGGGGATAGTCTTTCCAAGAAAGTCCCAGCAGACACCCCTACGTGTCTCAAAGTGGCCCATCCGTAGACGAACTGATGAGAGGGAGC